GTTTTTATGTCCTGATGGCTGTTTAATGTTCTTTAATGCATTGTTCACAGAAATTTCACTTGCTCTATTCACATCATGTGTTTAAACCATTTTCCCATCTCTTTTAATGTACATCACGTTCCCACCCTGCATTTGTGTTCTGAAATACTCTCTTAGGCAAAAGGACCTTCTCTTTCCAGAGTATTTTTGCATGGCATGATGGTGCTCAATCTGCCCTGCAGCTCCTGATTGTTGGTGCTGGGCCAGGACTGCATCACACACCCTCTTGTCTCCAGTGCTGCTTCATCCCTCCCTCCACCACTTTCCAGGTCACACCACAGTTTTAAGACATGAGTGAAGGGTCAAACAGGGTTTTTTCCAGCAGCCTCTTCCATGCAAGAGCCTCTAGTTTTATTCACCACACTTATGATACCTTTTGTAGGTCTTAATGCCAAAAACCCACTAAACTCTTCACTGACTTCAGTAAGTTTTGGGAGATAAAAGGAAAAAGATCTCTGAAGGGATCCGTCTTTCAAAACAGAATGGGTTGAGAGATAGCAAGACAAAGGACAAGCTTCGGTATTTCTACAAACGCAGAAGACAATTACCCAATAATTCAGAAATATCATAAACTACCTCAGCAAAAGCTACAAAAACCCTTATCTGTATCTATATCCATGTGCTCTTTCAGATGTCTTGTCATGTTTTCGTATGATTAGTATCTTTGTGACATCACAGACATTTTACATGTAAGTTTCTAAAAGATGAAGAAAACCAAAATTGCTGTTCCAAAACTCCAAGGATGTCCAGGGCAGGAACTGTCTTTGCTCTCTTGCAGATGCCATGCAAGTGCAGTTTGGCACTGAGTCTCAAAGGAGGCTTCTCAGCACCACACAAGACAAGTAAGAAGAACAAAAGATGAAGCAGAAACTTATTGGCAATTTGTTATGTGACTCAGGGCAGATCCAAGCACCTTTGTTTTTTGTTCCCCCTTGAGTGCTCCACTTATCAAGCCATGGTGCCTTTCTGAAGCAAATTCAGCCTCTTCAGTGGTATTTGATAGTGTGTTAGGCTGTTATGGACCAATGACACAATATTTGTTCAAAACTAGTAAAAGTTTTTATTTGTTATTTTGACTCATTCATCTAAAATGCATATAATGTGCTCTCAGCTATTTCAGGTTCCTAACAAAAACAACAGGACATGTAAGGCCAACTCCCAGAACAAATTTCTGAAGAATGGGTGCTCTGGGACTTAAGGAAAAGGCCCAGTAAGCCCTGAAAATCTAAATTCCTGTCCCTTTTTTCCTTTTCACTATGGGTAGCAAAATAAAAGAGTTTTGTGAGCTTGAGGCTACACAACTCCAATTGCTATAATTACATAACCAGGAATTTTACAATTGTACGGTAAGTCAACTCTCTTACAGGGACTAATGCTTAAATTGCAACTTCTAGATTGCTTAAAAAGGGAAAAAGACTTATGCAGTTAAAAAAGTTTGCTATTAACTGAACCTAACCACAATAATTAACTTCTATTCGCAATTTCTTCCTGCTATAAATTTGGGGTTGTTATTTTTTGCTTTCATTTTTAGGCTCAGACTGGTTTTCTGATTCTATGATGGTCCTCAAACAGCTAAATCATAAAAAGAGATTATGTGTTGGACTAGAGAGAAGGCTTGGTTGACTGGTGCGTACTAGCTAATGCTGATTTAATTTTAAGCTCTTTTTGCTATACAAACAAATTCTTTGGTATTAGACTTGTCTTACTAGATTCCTTACCTGTTCAGCTACGTTTATACTACAAACTCAAATTCCTGAAATATTGCAGGCCAGTTTCAGTAGAAAAAAAATGTAGCCTTAAAGGGTTGATTCTGTAATACTACCAGCAGTGAAGCTGAAGAAAAATAGGAATAAGATTTTGAAAACTCTACAAAGGCATAAATGTGAAATTGCTCTGGTGAATAATTGATTTCTATTTTTTATTTGTAAAGGCCTAAACTATTTTACAACAAGGATTTTGTCATGCAAGTGAATTGATTTGCTTAGGAAACATATTGAAGAGGCCTATCTACAAACAGAAAAGGGTTAAACAGACTGGGAGAGCTGAACATGCCAATCTCACAATTTTATGACATTGGCAAATATTCATATAGCCCCTCTCCAAACTAATGCCCTTTGCCTAAACAAAGGAGCACAGCACCCTGATTGTGGGGATTACAATGCACACTAGAAATAGCCCCTTTGCCCTTTTTAAAAGGGACACAGTGCCAAGCAGCCTAGAGAAAAACAGATTCCCATGTTGCATCACACAGTGTACTCCTCACATTTCACTCAGCTTTTCCATCAGATATTTGTGACTAAAGAATGGGGGACATGGGCACTTGGCCCCACTGGTGCTCTGGAGATGCAAGATCATGACTTTGGTAATTAATAGGCTTTCACTCTTTTGATATGCTGTACTAAATGAAGGGAACATAAAAAGCAAATACTAGTTTGATGTTTTATATGTTACACCCCTGCTCAGGTATAAAAAGTTAGAAGTTACAGCTGAGGCAAGGGAAGTCCTTTTGGTGTAGTTTGCTAATGATGCAGTTGGGAAAACATTTGGGTGTTTCTGCAGAGGTTTTTGTGCCTATGCAGCTTTAGCAACTGTTCTAGAATAGGGAGGAGTTGATTATGATTTAGGAGTAAAAACAGGAGATGAAAAATGACTGAACAGATGATGAACAGAGCTATGAAATCAAGCTCCCATGATTTAATAGATGACCATTCATTCCTGGAGCTATGGAAACTGACAGCACGCAGTGACTGAACCCATCCACATGCAAAATAAAGTATACAGCCTAGCCTATTTATTTTCATAAAGGTGCAAATTAGGATCATGCATGTGGCTCATTACTGCGGCATGTGGCTCAGATGACCGGGGTAATTACTAAACTGGGGTGACTCAGTCAACTTCTACCCATGGTAACAGGGAAATTAGAGATCAATGTTTTGTTTCTGCAAATTTGTGGGTTTGTTTCTCTACATACAGCTAGGACAGGCAGCTGCCTCCCATAGGTACCTGCACACGAGGGCTTGGAGAAAAAGGAATGGAAGCCAGCATTCTTAAATGTCTGCTGAGGAGATGGGAATTAAGTGGAGACTTGAGGCTGTCAAAGTGAGAGAAGATAAAGTTAAGGACAACTATAGCACAAGAAGTGTTATGTTATACATTGGGGTAAATACATAGAAATTGGTATTTTGATCATAATGCAAAAGCCTTGGTAGACAAAGGTGGGCATTTACCGTGATCTTCCAGTCATGTAGTAAAGAAAAGATGAACATGTCTTTCACTCCTCTGTTACTTGCAAATTAATCCAATGTCTGAATGTTTCAAAGCATTTTCAGTCTGCCTGGGACGGGGTTTTTTGCATATGGCAATGCCATCAGCCACATGCAGCTTTTGACCCCTATTTGCCAAGTCTTGCTTACTGAGGAAGCAACTCTCACTTTTGGAGCCAGAGAAGCTGCTTGCATCTACTCTGTGGGGTTACTGAGCTGGGCAAGATACTTTCTGATGGGCAGAGTATGCAGAAATATGAGCTCAAAACTGAAGGGATGGAAGGGTTTGGGGAAGGGGTGGCCATTAAGCAGAACCTGTGCGACTATCACCAAGGCAGCCAGGTAAAAGCCAGGTAAGGCAGCAGCTCAGTTCCTCATTCGAGTCTCTAACTGTAACTTCAGTTAGCCTGCTTGCTCCTATCTCCTGGTCCCAGTGTTGGCTGCTGGCCTGACCTGTCTCTGCCAGCCTCCCACCGTGGCTGGGAAAGCAAGATGACACAAATGGAGAGGAGCAGAAAAACTCTTGAAATACCTGGAGAAGCCAGGCTGCCCAGAGCCGGGTGCGCCGGGCTCAGGACACACACAACAGTAGTGCCAGCCAGACTTCCCCGCCTCCAGCCGGGTTTTGCTTTTGCACGCAGGTGTAGCAGTAGATATTATGGGGAAAAGGCGTGAGGGGGGATGTTCCTGAAATAGCACACACAGGTTTTTACGCGATGCCCGCGTTTCCACGAAGACATTGCCGTTGTGCGCCCCGCACCGCCCGGGAACTGGGGCTGCTTTTTCCGTGCTGGGCTCGTTCCACAGGTCGAAAACCTGAGGAGAATCCTGCCTTGCCGTGCCACGGCCCTCCAGCCCCTCTTCCTTACCACAGCCGCTGCTAATTTTAAAAGTTGTTTGTGCCGCCTCCGAGAGAAGAAAAACATGTCCCTGTATGAAGAGAGGTAACGAGAAACAGGCCTTAGGTGGCAGAGCCAGGGCTGGTCAGGGTGTGAGGCTGAGGAAAAGCCTCTGCTCCCCGCGGGGCTCAGTCTCGGGCACACTCGCCTGACAAGCGCTGGGTTTGCCAAGTTCGTGGCAGAAGAGACAGAGGAGGGTCCTGGGAGCTGGCGCCGGCGGGGGGTTTCTCGGCTTGTCGCTCCTCTCCCCCGCCTGTTACCCCATCCGCTCCTCTCCCACGCCGTGGCGTGGGCGGCGTGGGCGGCCGCCCTGGCAGTGCCCGCGGGGGCGACGGCCGTGTTTGCGTTTGTGCCGGGCAGTCTCATGGAAACCGGCTCGCAGCGCCCCCGCACTCCCGCGCTGCCCGGGCAGCGGCCGGCCGAGCCCCGCCGCGCCGGGAGCTCCGCCGCCTGGCTCTCGCCCCGCCGTGCCCGGCTGCGGTCTGGCCGGGCAGCCCGGCTGTCAGGGCCCGCGGCGCGGCGTGGCTTCCCTGCCGGCCGGGTAAGGCGTGCGGGGGCCGCCCCGGCAGCGCATCCCCGCCCGCACCCGCGGCCCGGCCGGGCAGGGCAGGGCAGCCGTGGGCGGTGGCGGCCCGGGCAGTGCCGCCCGGCAGCGGGGCGGGGAGCGGGGGAGGTGGGGGCGAGGGAGGGGGCGAGGGCGGCTCTCACTCCTGAACTCTCCGCTCTTCCCTCCCTCTCGGCACCCCCGCCTCCGACCTTCGCCGCTGCCGGGATCGCGTCTTGCACCAGCCCGTCCTCTGAGAAGCGGCGAGGGGGCCCGGCCATGGAGACCCTCGTGCGCCCCGGGGCCAGCAAACCCCCCACCGGGTAAGCTCCCGCCGGGACCCGGGCCGGACCGGCCGCCGCTCCTCTCCACGGGCGGGAGCGGCTCCGGACGGCGACAGCGGCCGTGCTGGCCGGCGGGCCGCGGTGCCTGCCCTCCGTCCCGCCTGTCTCGCTTCCCTCTGGGCGCCGAGCTCGGAGCGGCGCGCAGGTGTTGGCGGCCGGGCCGCTCGGAGCACAGCCCTGGGACGGAGGGGGCACGGCGGGGAGCCGGGGGCGGCAGGGCGGTGAGCTCGGGCGCAAAAAGGTCAGCAGCAGGAGAAAGTGCCTGTTTCGCCTTTGCCCCGCGGGAGGGGCGCCCCGGGCCGGCTGCCGGCGCTGCCCCTCCGGCTGCGAGACCGGAGAGCCGGTTCGGTTCGGGGCTTGCTCCCTTCAGGGGGTGCTTCGGAGCGGCCCTGCGGGACGAAGGGCAGCCGCTGCTTGTAGCTCCCGACCCGGGCCACCGGGGCTGCAAGGGACACTGGCGGGGCCGCGGCGGGGCTCGGGGCAGACCCGTCCGGCGGAGGGTCCGGAGAGCCCCCGCGGCCGCAGATGTTCTCATCCATACGCCCCTCTGCCCCAGCGCTAGGACGCAGCTGCCAAAAGCCTTTGAAAGGTTTATTCAGCCGTCCCAGACGTGGGTCTCAGCCCCACCGCACGGCCGCGGCAGAGGAAGGAAGAGCATTGCCAACCGCGAATTAAAAGTGCCCAAAATTGTCCGAGGTTGGTGGGAGACCGCGGTGACTACTCCCAGTACCTCCTGCCTTTGGTGACAAGCACCGCTCTGGCAGCACTATTGCTAAGTAGCGGTCAGCCCGAGTGCAGACCGCGGGAGAGTTAGGGATTTTTCAAGAGAACAGACAAGTAGAAGATATGCCAGCAGTGGAATTTATTAGTCCGTTAATTAAACGACGAGAGCAGCAGCACGATGAGGTCCTAAGTGATCTCTTTTGTGAGAGCAAAAGCTGGGCAAGTTTTAAGAGCTGTGCTGTCTGCTCGCTGCAATTTACTGCTCTACTTCACACTGTACAGGCTGAAAGAGACTGTGATTGCTTCAGCAGCTTTTTTATTTTTAGTTCTAATGTTTATATCATAAATTTATTTTCAACAAAGTAGGAAATAGATCTAAAGTACGTGCTAGTGGGCTACAGTAGCTTTGTTCAGTTTCATTTCCTTAGTTTGTATTTAATAGGGAACCTTGCAGTGTACACAGAAAGTAGTACAGGGAGCAGGGAGTGAAGAAAAGATGCCATTGCTAGTGCTGTGGTAATGAAACAGTGTGTGCCCTGTTTCTTTGACTTGCAGAGTAGGACATAGCTTGCTGCTCTTATTGTAAATAAAATGCTTACTTCCAGATGAAATTGAGCCTGTTTGATTGTGACCTTTTAGGCTAACCTAAAGGAAGAGTGGTAGATGTAAGGTGCCTCCCCTCTCTGTATTTAGTTGATGTAACAGTATAGCTGCTTTCTAAAATCCTGATGGAGAGGAGATTTATGGTGCCAATTTACACGTGTGCTTTGAAGAGTAATTCAGATGCAGTGCTGACTAAAAATTTGTCTTGATTGCTGGGTATCCAGGATTTTAATGAATCCAAAGATTCATTAAAAAAAATTAATTTGCAATAGGAACCCATGTCATTGATGCATCTCAGAGAGGACCACTGGGGCCTGGGGGCATTTCTGAATAGAACTCCTGAATCCTTTTGTAAACAGTTTCATCTGTGTAAACTTGTCAGCAGCCAGATTCAGAAATCACATGCCTGAACAGAAGTTACAGTAACTGCATGAACTTCAGTCATATTGCTCCTGACATGGCTCAAGAAGATGAAGCCAATGGTAGGGTACAGATGCACTTGTGATATTGTATAACAAAGTGTGTGGGTGCTAATCTGCTCATGTGGAAGCTGATGGCAACACTGTCATGTGCACCAAGAGGTGACTGCCTGTTTTATCTGAGCTCATTTCAGCCTTGAATTACTCTTTGCTGCCTTTTCTTGCAAGTCAGACCTTCCCAGCCTGGATGTGTCTGTGCTGTTAGCAGGGGACTTCACTGAATGATTCATAATTCCCTCAGTTGCTATCATCCATATTGGACACTGGTGGATGTTTGATCCCTAATCAGATTTTGCTCACTCAGTGATGAAATCTGTTAGGGTCAGGAAAGTGCACAGCTTTGTCCTTTTTGGTTTTCGTGTGAATCCAGACATGAACTGCATCTGTGGAGTGTGGCTGAGGACCTCTGGCTGTTAAGGCTGTTGTGACAGAAATATCTTCCTTTCATGGCAGAAGACATGCTATACACATTTCCAGCTTATTGATTGGCTTAGCTTGCAGTTATGAAAGGGAGGTTAAAATGACCGTAGCTTCAAAATTTTTAACAAAATTTAGGCAGAACTGTTTTGTCTCTATGTAAATCATTAACAGCAACATTGTGACTCTCCCTTGTTAAACAGTGAACAAATTTAATGTATCATTTTGTGCAGGGTAGAGGCGCTCTGCTGTGTGCTTATACAGATAAATTGATTGTGTGTGTTCCACGGCACAGTTCCTTGTGTGGAACTGTGTGGAACTTCATTTAAATGAAGATGATACTGTTGGGCTTTTGTTTTTTGGTTTTGTTTGTTTGTTTATTTTAAATAGCAAAGGAAAAACTGCAATTTGTGCTGGTGTTTCAGGGTTTTTTCCAATTTTTCAGTTTCAAAAAAAATTGCACATTTCAGAACCAATAATTTTATTATTACTGATTGCTAGACATAAGTTTTTTAGAAGCTTTATCAAGTACATAATGCTTTATTTAATGAACATTTATTTTGATTTATGAAAGTGAATTTAAGAACAACCAGTAGAAAAAGTAGAAATGACAATTTACTCTGTGATTATGCAACGGATACTAAAAGACAAATACACTTCTTTAGTATCTTTCTGTTAGTATCTGCCCTTGTTTCATTAGGGAAAACAGAGAGAACCTTCTCTGGATGTTTCAGTTGGTTTCTTTTTTGACCATAATTTGGCATGACAGACATACACTGGTCATAAATGGCACTGCAAGCTCAAGGATCCATTCTGTTCTGCTCTGTTAGGAGCCCTGCAAAGAGCAGAGCATCTTCCCTGGCCACTGAAGTCATCTCCATCTCCCATAAAAGCCAGCAGTTTATGGATCCATCTTCATGCCTGTGTCTGAGCACAGAAAAGCTTCCTCTGGAGCCTTGCAAATGTGAGGAAAGCCTCTGTATTCAACTGGATGTATGAGTGCTTTCTTTAAGTAGGACCTTTATTTTCTGTGCATCAACTTCCTTTGCTATATCACAGGGCCTTATGGTACTAAAAAATACAGGCACATCTTAGCACACCTATTTTAGAGTGCCTTCCCTGCTGGATTGAAGTGTCTCTGGAAGTCAGATATGGATGTAAAACATTAGTAATGTTTACATGCAGAACTGGGGAAAGAAAACCCCCAGCTACAGAGCAAGTTGCACATCTCAACTTGTTGAAAGTTTTTCTTACTATTTTATAACTACTACACATAGTTAAGCATGTTACTTTGTAAAACTGCACAACCAGCTTAAAAAAATTAATATTGTGTTAGGGTTTTATTTTCTTGTCTAGGAAAGCCTGGAGAGCACTGTTGTGCACAGAACATCTCTTAGCGTATGTAACACCAGTTATATCATACTCTAGCTCATCTCCAGGTGTTGCACAATTTAGGGTAAAAAGAAGCAACATGTAATTAGTTTTTAATTGGAAAACTGACCAATTTGTATATATTTTCTATGTTTTGTATTTATATGAGATTTCTGTGTAATGTGCAAAGTGGTGGCTGGCAAAGGGCAATGACTGCAACCATAAATGTTCAGTATCAGTGTGGTAAAATCGCAGAGTGGTTTGGCTTGAAAGGGACCATAAAGATCACCTCATTCCAGCTCTCCTGCTGAAGGCAGGGACACCTTCCACTAGACCAGGTTGCTCAAAGTCCCATCCAGTTTGGCCTTGAACACTGACAGGGATGGGACATGCACAGCTTCTCTGGGCAACCTGTTCTACTGTCTTACCACATACTAAAAAATTTCTTCCTAATATCTCATCTAAACCTCCTTTCTTTTAGCTTAAAGCCATTCCCCCTTGTTCTATCCCTGCATGGTAGCAACTTTCAAGATTGCTGCCTCTAACAGTTGCAAAACTGACACTTGTGCTTTTGGCATTGGCCTTCACATTGTTTCATTATTTGTATCTGGACCACTCCTGCAGAATTCAGTTGATTCACTTCAATGCACTTCTTACGTGTCCACCTGAGACAGGGAGCTTCCCTGTGATGCATTTTCCTGGCACCACAGTCAACATTAACCCTGTCTTCCTCTCAGTCTGGGCCCAAAGTATTTCTTTCTGTGTCAGTGGACATACATCACATTAAATAAAACTCTGGAAATAATGACAGAAAAATTGTTCTTGCTACTGCATAGAATGAAACAGGGTAATTTTTTTTCTGTGTTTGGCACCTCCAAATGAATGTAACTGCTGAGCTAATATACTGTAACAGATTTGTATTTTCAGTCATGACTAATATCTCAGGATTGCTGAAGATAAGGATACTAATTGTAAGGGTAAGCCAAATGGCGAGATAAATGCAATGCAATCCAGTCCTGACAGCTGTTCTTTCTGAAGTCCAAATTCCTATTTCTCATATTTTATTTTTCCTTTTTTCCCCTTTTCCTTTCTTTCAGAATCTGCCAGAATAGAAAATGAAGGTGTTATAAAATCTCTTTCATTTCTAAAATTTCTTTCGTTTCAGTACTGTCCAGAATATTCAGGATTTGTTTTGATTTTCCCCATCTCCCAGTTGTCTCTCATTATTTTGTTCCTATGGAATCTTTCATATTTTTTCATCTTGCCATTTTATGCCACCCCTGCCACCATTAGATGAAACTGAACCTTCTCTTTCTTACTGTCTCCTGTCTTAGTTGCCGTTCATGTTCTTTCCCTTGCAATTTCAGATTAATTTTTATTCAGGTT